CTTGCTGCTCCCCAGGGAAATACCTGGGACACCTGGGGAAGCGAGGCGGAAATGTTTGTAAAACATTTCGACGTACAGGAAACGGAAACCGATGCAAGCTGTTCGAAGCGCAAATGTCCGAGAAAGAAAAGACATTTTAGCAGCGTTGAGATTCTCCTTGGGTAATCTGGCGTCAAATATATACATATTTACTTATACTGTAGATCGGTCTGTAAATCTACGAGCATGCTAATTTTGCTCTAAATATATATATATATTTTAAATACGTTTTTATTTAGTTGGAAACCGTACATATTAATGAACACTGGAACCAGTTGAAAAATCCTATTTTAATCTTATTTTGGAATTTTGAAGGAAAACAAAACAATGCATTTTATTTGTGGAAGTATTAGTTAGATTGAAGCTAATTTGATTTATCCATATCACAACTTGTTGGTCAATCATATACTAAGATTTTCCACTTTGTCTATAAACGGTTTAAAAAAACATTTGCGAAGGTTTGAAATGATATATACAAGAATATATTTACATTTCCGCTGCGACCCACTATATGAACATTTCCAGCAGAAATGCAGTTTATTAGGCAATTAACGCAATTCCTACGTCATCAGTTTGTGTGGTGTGTGTATATTGCGCGTGTTGCCAACTGTTGGTTGGTTACCGGACAAGCTAGACTGTGTCCGACTGAGAACTGTTATGTCTGTTATATTCATCTCGTCGATCGGAAGCTGACAAAAAACACACGGGTAGTACCTATGGTAGGATGTGCCAATATATCTATATTCTAGAATGCACAATTATTTACCAAAATAGCGTTTTCATGTCAAATTCGGTGTCACTCTTTCTATGTGTACATGGGCGTCGTCATTTTGTTTTTGAGTTGGTGACGTCACGTTGGAGGCTGTTCATTTTTAGCTGGTCGCACCCAATTCTCACCTCGGTAAGATGTGTTTGGGGCTTAAAAAAGGTTGTTTAAAAAAAAAAAGTGAAATAAAATGGAATTTATACTTGATAGAATAAATATAAATATATGGATTGAGCGTCATTTTTTTAACATTCATGGCGGTATGAACGCAACTCCGTTGCATCCATATTTAGCATGAAGCCCTAAAAAATTACGCTCAATCCCTATAAACACTGCCGTATTTGGCCTTAATGTGTTAGAATCGTTTTCTGTATATTAAAAAGCACTGCTGATCCTTATTTGCTATTTGAATAACGAAAAACGAAAAATATTTTTTTGATAACGAATAACGGGAAAACNACGAATAACGGGAAAACTCGTTTTTCGTTATTCGTTATTCGTTTTTGCGTTTTTCGGTTTTTCGAACTCATACACCTAAACACTGCCCCATTTGGCCTTGGTGTGTTATAATCGTTAACTGGATATCCAAAAGCACTGCGGTACCTTATTTGCTATTTGAATAACGAAAAACAAA